GATCAAGGGCCGCCCTTCTTTTAGTTTGTTTTCATGATGCCATCTTTTTATCTGTGTGATGTGGTTTACTTCTATTTTATTTCTTTTCTCTTTTTCTACTCCTTTTTGTAATGTCAAAAGGGGGAGTAGTTGTACTATTTTATGATATTTTGGGGTATTGTGTACTGTATTCATTTTTTAGTAAAATTTGAACTTCCTGATTCACTATTTTTTAGTATGATGTTTCAATTGAACCACTAAAATTATTTTTTTGTTTGCCATCATAAAAAAGGGGAAGATTGTTGTGAATATGATTTTAGGAAATATAATTTTGATGATAGCACATATTTTTGATACTTTTGCTTTTGTACGACTGCATTGCCTACTAACGTTTCAGGTCTACAAGGTCGAGTGCAACTCAAGAGAGCTCAAGATTGGGTAGACTAGGATTGAGTCAGTTTGTAATCATTTACCTTTTCTTGAGTCAATTGTATCGATGTGGGTCATGATGCAAAGTAACCTTGCACACACTCGAGGGAAAAATTCTGATAGTTTTAGAGTTTTCTATTTTTGATCACATCATCCGGGAGGATCCACAAATCATCTTGGATGATCAATTAAAAATAAATATCCTAATTGGGGCATCCTGGTTAAGGCAGCCGTCATTAAGAAAATTGTCCTGGACAAAGTTATCATCATCTTGGACAATAGGTTCAAATCCAAAAGAATAAGCTGTCAGATCTGTTTAGGCATGCTTTATTTTTGGATATTGTCCTAGATGATGCAGTATAATTATGCCTAAATTACTCTGATAATTAAGGAAATCAATTAAGGTTTGATTGCTTGATCAAATTATCTTGGATGATCTCAAGATCATCCGGGACGATCCCAAGATCATCCGAGACTATCCGTTAAACAAACCTTAGTTCTTCCTGGATGATCCATAATCAGCCTGGCTCCATTCAGGGAGATGTTTTTGACGATATGTGATATTTTGAACTAATCGTCCTAGATGATCATGAGATCGGCCTGGATGATTTAGTCAATTTTTTATCATCCAGACATCCGTCCAGGGGGATGTTTTGGACAATAAGTGATATTTTGTACTGATCGGCCCGAACGATCAAGAGATCAACCTGGACGATCAAGTTACATTTTCATCATCCAGACATCCATCTAAGACGATGGTTTGGATGATATTCGAAGACTTGTACTAATCATACATGATGATATACTATCATTCTAGATGATATGAATAAATTAACCTTCTGATCATCTAGACTCTCCCAAATTATCCTGACTAATTGAGTTAAATTTGTAATGATCATACAGGTTGATCTAACGATTGTCCTGGACGATAATGTCCTTTTGTTACAATTAAGAGAAAATTCAAAGCTCTTCTATATAAGATTTATTATTTTACCCAGGAGTGTATCTTTTGCTAATATCTTGACCTGAGGGAGCTTAGAGGAGAGGGAGAGAAAGGAAGAGAGAGAGAGAGAATCTTGTTAGGGGGAGTTTGTGAGGAGTTTCATAAAGGTTGCCCCAAGCAAGGATCTGAGTCATCTTCTCCGGTCATCATCCCTTATTCCTCGGTGGTTCTAGAGAGGCCTACTACAATAATTGATCGAGGTTCTCTGCGTGCTTTAGGAGGAAGCGAAAGGAGTCAGGTTCTCTGTCTGTTTTAGGAGGAAGCAAAAGAAGTTGGGTTCTCTGCCTCATCGGTGTTGATGGAAACGAGGTTTGTATAGGCTTCTTCGTTTTGCTATGGGAGTAAAAGGAGAGTCACTGAGTTTAGTATAATACCCGGAAGAGAGGCTCAAGGGAGTGGATGTAGGTCAAGTTGAACGAACCAATATAAATTTTTGCGTGTTCTTTCTTACAACTTTTTCACATTTAATTTCCGCACTTTGATTTTGTTGTGGTGAATCTTGGTTTGATTTAAGTTTGTGATTTTTTGATAAATTTTTAAAATATCAATTCACCCCCCCCGGTTAGCTTTGGGCTAGTTCAGAAGAGCTTAATATCCCTAATGAACTTTCAGGGTCTTTTATAGAGTTTGGTATAATTAGAAATACCACCTAAAGGTTGTTAATGACAAATCATACATCAATTATGCATGATGTGCTTATCTATATGTACTAAAGAAGTAGGTCATTGATATTAAGTATAAAGTTTTTGAGTATATGGTTAATATATGACACATGCCTGACTTATTAAGAGGAACTTAATCATATTTTGTTTTATGATATGAAGTGTTTGAGAAGTAAGCAAATATCTATGGTGAAAATATGGAAGTATATGTCTAATATATAAGCTACATGAGAGAAAGAGTTTGAAATGAGGTCGCTTTATGTACATTTATTTGATTGATAGGCACATGCATTGAAGTGTCAATGGTGATTTTTTCTAAGGTGGAGAGATTGTAATACCCACATTTATAGTTCTATCAAATAAAATTATCATAACAAACACAAATGGTTATTTATTATTGTTTTATTTTTATATTTGCATGTTTAAGCATTTTAATGCTCTAATGCATTTCTTAGAGCATGTTTTTAGATTATTTTAGCCTTCATATAATTATACAAAAAAATTTCTTAAAGACAATGAATTGATTTCCTTGAGTTATTACTATAAACTATTTAACGAACCACATTCAAATGAATTTTCAAGATTCTTTTTAACTCCTGTTTATAAATCATCTCCACCACACTGTAAAGCATTCAACAATTCTATTTTATGTGTATTTTTACTTAGTCTTATAAGTATTGTAGATATGAAAATGAGAGATTGCTTGTATGATCTATACTCTTTTTGAAAATTTTATAAGATAATACAACTTTTTTTAAGAATTATCTAGTATTGATTTCGAAAAATGTTTTCACCAAAATGTTCTAGATGTATTGAATTATTTATTTGACAAGTTATAAAATAGTTTATATGAAATTTGTAATTAAAATAAACAAATTGCATAATTATAATTATCTCCTTACTTGTAGATATAAAATGATTTTCACATCTTGGACTCCATTTTTAGCACATTTGTCATCTTTTGGCAATGAAAGATATAAAAGGAGAGGAGAGAAATAGAAAGAAAAGATATAAAGTTTAGATTTGTATAGCTTTCTTTAATTAGCACATTCTTTTTTGTTTATGATATGATAATATATGAGAAATTATTCTGTGCGGAATCCGATTATAGAGCTGTATTCGGATGCCAGTAAAATCATTACACGTGGCGTGCTTACTTGGAAAGTTAGGATATTTATTTGACTTCTTACCCGACCCGTTTGTCTTTTCAGACTTACTGCAGACGAAGAAAAATCCGCAACAAATAAACAGTAAATAAACAGAAAATGCGCAACATATACACAATAAATACTCAATAAATACACAATAAATACGCAATAAAATACTTAATCAATATGCACATTTTACGCAATGAATACACAATAAATACTCAATCAATATGCAAGTCAAATAAATATCGCGGACTTTTAACTTTTCACGTAAGCATCCGAACACAGCTCTATAACCGGATTCTGCGCAAAATAATTTCTCGATAATATATTGGGACATATATCACTTTTTATTTTGTGCATTGAAAGTTATTGTAGGTACACAACTCCCCTTGGCCTATTGGTTGAGAGCTTAGGCTTCCAACTAAGAGGTTCAAGGTTCGAGTCCATGTGTATGCGTTGTGTGTGTGAGTTTGCCTTAAATGGCCTAAATGTCCCAAAAAAAAAAGTTATTGTAGGTTCTATAAAACCTACCGAGCTATTAATGCTCATCCTATTTTACATATATATTCATTTCAAAGAGGGGATATGAGAAGGGTCAAATTGATTAGAGGTAAACTTTGCAAGTTTCTATTTATAGGTCTGCCTTTTATTAGACTACAACTATATTTTTTGCAATCATGGTGATTTAATGTTATGGTGAATAAATAGATGAATATCAGAATTATTCTATATGAACCCTTTTCAATTGAAAGGATGTTGATGAGTTATGCTTTATTATATTTTTGACGATATATTAGTGGCACTGCATTATTACAAATAATGAAAAAAATATATTATTAGTGGCACTGCATGTTTAAAGCTTTTGAAAAAAATATATATTATTTCAATCTATTTTGTGCTATATAAAGGAACATGTCATGTAGTTAATATTAATTTTAGAATATTCTTAAGAAATAAAAAATGAGATAAAACATATTTAAATAAAAAAGAGCTAATTAAACAAAATACTTTATTTGAATCGATTTTATTAAATTTTAGTTTGGCCTATGTTTTAGATTTTGGATGAACTTATAATCTGATTAAATCGAGTTGCGGTTCAATTCAGCTTTATTTTATTTTTGTTTATAATTTTAAAATTCCGTTAGAGCCTATTTAATTTGTTGTAATAGGGGAGTAAAGTATTTCAAATATAAGATTTTGAAAATATTATTTTTTAGTTTGCAGTAAAAGAAGTGCACAGTAAAAAAATTAAAGTAAATAGAATTCATTATTTAGTTCAAATCCAGCATATTTGGAATTCTTCAAATTTGGACAATTTCCAAATACACCATAAACTCAGTGCCATTGCCAGTGCCGACCACCACCTTCGTCACCACCTGCCGACAGCTGCCGACCAGCTGTTTGCCACCGACGGCCTCAGGTATTCTATTCGCTGGCCGACGATCACCTTATGACCACCTCGCCGACTGCCGTTGACCATCGTTGTCCACTCGTTAGTCGCCTCTGGCTACCACCAGCCATCAAAATCGCAACATTTTTGCACTTTACATTGAATTTATTTTACTTTAAACCAAATAAAAAATAATAATCTCTTGCATTATTTTTGCACAATCTCATACATTACATTACTTTTACAATATATTTTTTTATACTACATTCTTTTTACATTTCAACCAAAATAGTCCCTTACATTTCAAAATAAAAATTCAATTGGTCGACCTCCAAAACGCCAAAATGTAAGATAGAATGGAAGACTTCAGTATTTGCCTACCGTGAAAAACCTACAACTAATTTATCTTAAACTGAACCATCAAGAATACATTATAGTTCAGACAATACAAAAATGGAGAGTTCAAGAACCCTAGATTACCATCGGCGACCGTAAAACCAACTAACCGCCTGAATTCTGCGGTGGACGTCTTCTCCACTAGACGGGCATTCTCCAAGCGACATCTTCTCTTCCGTCATTCAGTCCTCGGCGCAGTGCCGCATGGTTGTTAGCCTCACGTTGCTTGGTGGTTTTGTTATGTTTTGGGTGATGAATATCACCAAGTTTAATTAGGTTTTTTTATTTTAAAGCTGAGATCATCTTGATTTCTAATATAAACTTGTTGCAAATATCTCTTTGATTTTCATAATTGGTTGAATCTTGTTACTCATCTTACTTTTGCATGCCAACCTGCTTTTGGTAGAATGTAGATTCACCTGGTTTGGTTTAGTTAAAGGCTGAATGTTTAATCCACTTAGGTTAGGCTTGGTAAAACCAATATCTATTTTGTCGGTTGGTAGATTGAGTAACAGTTAACCCTAAATTCTGTTTGGTATGCCAATGGGTTGACTAATCACAGGTTTGAAAAGTATTGACACATCATTTGTAATGAATCACGTCTAATTGATTATATGTAATTTGAAGTGGTTAATATAATTTAGCTAGTTATGAACATATTCACCTCCTTAGCCATCAGGATTCTCAAGCCCATTCATCTCCATCCCCGCCCTTTATCTCCTCCTTTTTTTTCTCAACTATGCTGTGCTTTCTCTCCTCCTCCAATCCTCATTACTACCTTGAATTCACACCTACATGTTCAACTTGTCGCACTCCTCATTTTGAATAACTCTTAAGTCCCTCCAGCTCAAAGGCAGCCAATTCCAAATCTCCCTTATCAATGACTGCAATCTTTTCTTTGAAAACACCATGCTACTATCATGAGGTTCCTTTCCTCTGTCACAAATTCCTGAAGGACAACCATTGACTTAAGCGAACCCAAGGGGATAGGTTATTTTTAAACAGGATTGAAGTGATTAGTTTATTAGCCAAATCTTAAGTTAAGAGTTGATTTGTGCCATTTGAATTTGTGTGGGCTATAACATAAGGTTAAACTAAGTTGATCCTATTATAACCTAAACCATGCAAACCCTAAATGGTTAATGAGCTAGGTTCGATCTGACTTTCTCCTTCACTATTTACTGGTTGCGTTAAAACAAGCATATTCTATTGTTGGTTAACCTAGCACTTGCTAATCATATCCAAACAATGCATTGGATTGTGCAACCATGGTCAAAACTCTTTTACTTATGTATCCATATTCTAGATCACATCCTTGGTCGGGCAAGCACTTACATATTGAAAGCCAATGAACAAAATCAATGAATTATTGGACAACAATCTAAAATTTGGTACTCAGAAGTGAAAAGCTTGATAGTGGTGGGTGTTTATTGCTTGTAGTTACAAAAAAAAAAGTAAAATCAATCTTAATCTAAAATAATTTTAGATGCATGATGATTATAAGCCTAAAGAACACGTCCATGTGTTTGTTTTATGTGTGTGTGTTAGGTTTTTTATGCTTAAATCATGGAAGATATAGTACGGATTTTTTTCTTAGTTTTTGTGAATTATTATTGTCTTTATGTTTAAGTCATTTTTTATATAACTAGCCTCTTTAGTTTGAATCAAAGTAATGATATCACGATGAATGGATGTTTTGAAATCAAAACTCTTCAGGATATTTCAGCTACCTGACTTGCTATATGTGTTTTTGCTTCCTTCTTGCATGATATGTGCTTTCTTTGATATGTGCTATGTGATAGGGTAACTTTGTGCTATGTGTTATGATTTTTCTATCTTTAAGTATTATACATCTCCCATTTTTTTTCATTTTTTCATTTTGCATTTGTAATTTTTTTACTCATTCCTTCTTTATATTGGTATTGTAGAAAATTTTGTTCCTCTACCCAAACTTGTCGGTGTTGAAAATTCTTATTTGCAGTTTGAACGATTCTCTTGAGAGTTTACTATTTGCTTCATATTTTGTACAAATTGGCATCTGTTTGAAATTTACACACAATGTTCCTAACTTTGCGTCCTTACTCTCCATAAAAATTCATAGCATCTCCTAGACTTTCTAGTATTTTTTCATTTCCTAATAAAACATAAATAGTTTACTTAATGCACCCAAAACAAATTCAAGTCTAAGCCCATTGCTTGAACTAACACAAAATAAGCATAAACAAAACCCATACGTAGCGTAAAGCTCCACAACATTGGTCAAACCAACCTTTCCTTTCCTTGACCACTTGTTGATCTGTATACGAAAAACAAAAAAAAATCACGCTTATGTACCTGTTCGGATGTCCGACGAAGCTCTCGGTACGCCGAGCTTTGTATGACGCATGTCGATGCCATTCCAGTCATGCTTGACACGATGCTCTCTACATGACCCCTGCAACCTGCCTCGTCGTTAAATAGAGAACGGAACGAAGTTCTTATTCATTCTATTCTTCCACTCGCAATCTTCCTGATGTAAGTTTTTCACGCTCGTCTTCACTCTTGTCAATCCAGACTCGATTGCACCTTACCTGCAGCCTTCACTGTGCCGTCTTTTCCTCATTGCTGATAGCACCTCACCAACCCTCAACCTCCTCATGTCTCTGAACTAGCCGAATACCATCACTTGACATGGCTACTGTGTCGATCTGCTTGTGTAGTTTCTACCATCCTTCATTCTCTCGATAGATTGTAGCTGAACTTCCCTCGAATGTTCCTTGAGTTGCCGTCACTGGGCATGAAATCTCTCACACCTGTCCTATCTCCCCTCACTTCCTCCTTAGCTGAGACCTCTTCACCCATCAACGTAGCCAACTCGACCGAACCCTGCCCGATTACTAATCGAACCCCTCCTCAAATTGCCGCAAGCTGATCATCCCGTAAGCTCGATTTTGCCTGCCTTTGTCCGATTCCCCACTATGCCGAAGCTCTTCCTCATCACCTCACCTGTAAGCCAATCCAGCCGAATCCCCTTCACCTGACCCAAGTCTCTCTCTGTAGAGGTAATCCCTAATTAATGTTAATTATAATGAATTACTATTAATTATCACTAATTATCATTAATTGTAATTATTTAGAATTATTACTAATAATTATACTTAATTATAAATCATTAGCATTAATTATAATTAATTATTTATAATTATAATTAATCATGATTAATTATAGTTATTATTATTCATTATAATTAATTGCTATTAATTATAAATAGTCATTGTCAATTATAATTAATTACTATCAATTATAATTAATTATAGTTTATCTTCATTAATTATAGTAATTATAATTGATTATTGTTAATTATAATTAATTATCATTAATTATAATTATTATCATTAGTTTGGGTTAATTATGAATAATCGTGATTAATTGTAATTAATTATAATTGATTATATTTAATTATAATTAATTATAATTAATTAATGTTAATTGTAATTAATCGTCATTAATTATAATTGATTATTATTGTTTTTGTAAAAATAATAAAAAAATGAAATAAAATGATGAAATGAGAAAAATTTTGTATGCGTTGATCGTCGTGTCCCTGACAACGCCGACACTGTCACATCGCGAATTGCCAATGTATAATCTCTCAAACTTGAAATCCTACCCTCGACATGTGTGATGCACCAAAAAATCACATATACACGCTTTTCTTAGCATGATAGGAGGGAACTTGGTGTGATACTTGCGATAAGGCGGGTGAGCCCTGTACACATTTTTTTTAGCGTAGCTGGGACAACTTTAAGTATCTGTATGCGCTTTAGTGCTTATGGGGAAAGAATTGTGTATTTCAAAGAAGATACCCTTGAAAACCAATATACGCCTTTCTTAACGTGGTCGGATTGAAGACCACGGTGGCAATTTTTTCGGACACCTACCATATACGCCTTTGTTAACATGATGAGAAGGCCTAGCTTCCCCAATTTCCCCCAAACCGGGGATAAGTTAGCATGCTGCCGAAATTCAAACTAAAATGCACAGAACCTGAACAATAAGAAGACCTAACTTGAATAACAATACTGGGGACCTGGCATCAACAGAATGCATTGAACAAAACTTGCAAAATGAACAATAGGGAATTATACCTTAAATTCTAAAATGCAGAATTAAATAAAATATTATAAAAAATATTAAATGATAATTCAAGTCATTTAAACAATCTTGAACGAGCAAACATAGGACTTGTGATGAACAAGGTCTTCAGTGTACAAATATGATAAATAACGTTATTTAATCAATTCCAAATAATGCCAATCAATTGCAAATAACATAGCACCTCCTACGTGTGATAAAAAAGAACTTATTATGCGAGCAACAACCAACTTGTAGGTTAAAGTGGCGATACTTGCAAACAACACTAAAAGACATTGTGCATGACAACCCACACAATAGTAGTAGGCAATGAATATAATAATGCCATGTAGTCAACTTCAACAACTTGCATGCAACCAATGTCATTGAAGACAAGCGCACGAAGCCACCAATGAATGATTACTTGCCAATCATCATGCACAAGTGTCGTGTGGCAATTAAGGTTGACATATAAGGGATATTATGACATATCTCTGATTGAGGTCAACCATCCTGCAGTCGATAGCAACAGTGTCTTGCAAGCAAAATCAACCATGTAAGCTGCAGCGATCAATTATGCAACAAATCATCAACTAAGAAGTGCTTGGAGTGTTTGAAGCTAGTGCAACTTTCATATAAGTTGTCATTGCAAACAAGTACACATCTTCAAACGATAGTTGCCCACATAATTGATTATTATCAAATATTTTAAAATGTCCTCATACATGCATTGCAACATGCGTAATAATTCATGTATGCATATTATTTAGCATCGTGAGATGCATTTAATTGTAACAAATGCATTGCATTTACATGATAATATGTTTTATATGTACGTTTCGTAACTTATAAAATACGAGTGTGTCACACGACATCAATATTGTATTCCAAAATGATCTCAGGCATGTACCTGTAGGATTCCGAGGATTTCATTCTAGTGTGTCATTCTGACATCGCTATTGCATTTCAAAGTGACATCCGACATGCATTTGTAGGATGCTGAAGATTTCATTGTAGCATGTCGTTTAACATTGCTACTACACCCCAAAATAACCTCCGACATATATTTATATGATGCCGAGGGTTTCATTCCAGTGTGTCATCCTACATCACTGTTGCATGTTAAAATGGCCCTCTGCATGTATCGTTAAGATGCAAAGGGTTTCATTTAAGCATATCATTTGACATTACAATTATAATTTAAAATGACCTCTTGCATGCGTTGGCGGGATGCAGGGGGTTTCATTCAAGCATGTCATTTGACATTATAATTACATTTTAAAGTATCCTCCCGTAAATATTTGCTATATATAGAAGACTTTATTCCAGCAATATCATGCATACATATAATAATCATAGAAATGCATCGTGCAAAATGCATTCAACAGTATACCCCTGCATGAGCCCCAACGAGTGTGTTATGGATACACATGTGACGTCTGAGAATGCAATGTGGGTTAACAAATAAACCTATGTTTGATCCCGATCATCTGTCAGGTAAATAAGGCAGAGTCGACAAGGTTCAATCAACAAAAATAAAAGTGTCACGATGATGACTGCTTTGAATGTAAATCTCAATTGTTGTGGTTAAATCTAAAAAATCTATCAAAAACATATAGTCGACAATGAACTTGATCCTCTGTCAGCAAATAGACAAAGTAGACTAGGTTCAGCTTATAAGATGAAAACTGCCTATACATACACCCCGATGATAGCTATGATTAATATAAATCTCAATCGGAGGGGTTAATTCTTAATAATCTATCAAAGGCATAAAGTCGACAATGAACCCGATCATCTATCGTCAAATAGATAGAGTTGACAAGGTTCAAGCAAACAAAATAAAAATTGCTCATATACGCCGATGATGGCCGTGTTGAATGCAAATCTCAACAGAAAGGAACCTTAAATATCTAAAATGCCTTTTAAATTCTCATAAGAGATTTAAATTTAAAGATTCCAAAATCTAAATATTTAAAATTGAAATAAATCATCGAAAACACTTAAAGCAAATTCCATCCGTACTCTGAACAGTTTGTTGAGACGAACAAATTGAAAATTATTTTATCTCACAAAGAGCTAATATCTGATCACTGATATCGCTAGGATTCATTCTCAAACAGTCTCCTATCAGAAAAGTACGTGGCATGTGTCCTCTAACTGACGATTTCACCGCCAAATGGTATTGCAGGTAAACGGTTATGACCGGGACCCTCTGAACCAGGTGGTTTGCTGTCAAATGACATCACTAAAATACAGTCATGGTTAGTGTTCATATGTTCCCCAATGATACTAAATCCTTGAGATATGAATAAATAAGATATGCTCGGTAGGGCATAAAGCTCTTTGTTAGCTAAGGTGAATTTTAGTTTGCTCCCTTAGGCAAACATTCACCTAACCCTTGGATGAAGCAACCCATGGATGACGATAAGGATCCTTCTATTAGTTTAGGTCGACTACCTCCTCTGACTAAGTAGACTAGGGATCATGATGGCCCAGGACGACGGAACCATGGGATCTTGATCGGGCTAATCATCATTCACCTCACCATTTGCTTTATGTGCAAGATGGCAAAATTTTTAATTTTAGATATTAAAATTTTCAAATATCAAAATTACACTGCTATTATATGCTTGATATCATGTATCAATTCGATACTATACGTCCTTTTGACGACTAGCCTTAATGGAAAGTTCTCCCTCGTTATCGGGAGGGATAATTAACTATAGGGGATTGCACCTATAGGAAACCAGAACTTAGATCATAAAGTCCTCGTAAAATGAAGAAAAAATATCTAGGTAGTGACTTATCTACAAACCGAATGTGCCTTCTGAAAATTTGCCTTGGAACTTAATCCTTAAAACTCTCCTCGACGACCCGAGAAAGAAGAAAGGGGCTTCGCAGAGAGGCTGGGGCGCAAATTTTCGGAGCCCACACCAGTTTGATTGACCACTCTTTTCTATTTCCCCTCCTTAGCCCCACCATCACCATTTTGTTAAATTTCCATCTAGATTCCAAAATGACCTTTATTATTTCTTTGAAGCTTTAATCTTCTCTTTCTCCAATAACCATACATATTCTCCAAGTTTAATAGTGGTCAATGTCCTATGTTGCATTTGAAGGTTGGCTATTTATAAAACTAACATCCATCTATCTCCATTTGCAATGTAGCCACCCAATCTTGAAGAATACAACAAAACCTCAACCTACCTTTTTTTGTTTTCATTGAATTCTCAATGAATTGGCCATGACACATGCAAATACACGAGTTCAATATTTTATTTTTTGGTTTTGGTGTTAATTTTATAAATATTAAAGTTTCATGTGACTTTTGCATAATTTTTCTAACTTAATGTGCTCTCTTATTTTTTATGTAATATATTAATCTCCTATTATCATACTCATGTCAAAATTTACTTTGTTCTTTTCTCAAAACAAATGAGCACACCTAAAACAATATCCGTTTGTCCACATTCATTCAGTTGGCATACATCTAACTCCAAGAGTCGCAAGTGGAATCAAAACTTCCAATCTCTCCAAAACAAAGAAAGTACCCTATTCACAATGCCCTAATCCAGCCACTGACAAACTATATTATCCATCAATTCCATCCTATGTCCAACCCTAAAGTCCAACCCTAAAGATCCAAAAGTTTCATTAAATTAAATGATTGTTGTCCTCTTTTATCAGTCTCGTCCATCGTATATGTGCATCATAGCATAACGCACAAGATACTGTGTTTGCAAACAATCCTTTGTATTTTTAATAATAGTCTGGTGATTCTTGATAGTTACTTCTTGTAGTAATTTGAAATTGTTTATGGTGTTCGTACTGTGAACATTAGTTAATCTATTTTAATATTTTTGAAGGTTTCATGTATCATAGCAGTGTATAAAGATTTATGTTATTGATTTATTCCAGTAAAGAACAATACAACTACTACTGACATTATCTGAAACCTCCATGTTTTGGACAAACTTCATTTTATGTTTGAAATATTGTTCTAGAGGAATGACATTTTTTGAATTTCATGTATGTATTTATTTATTTAGGTTAAGAAAGTGTTACATATCCAATTTTCAAATACATCTCGCAAACACCTTCGTTAATGCATAGAAAAAAGAATTCATGGAAACTAATTTATTATCCTAAAAAAACAAATGAAAACATTTTAAAAAAATATTGCATAAGAAAATTAATACAGCTTATTTAAAATTACTTATGCAATATAAAACAATCCATTAAGGTTGAATTACTTAATAATTCATAAATTATTATATACATTATTTGACAAAAAGATATCGGAGTTCTTGTATTGTGTTTGTTATACATGTTAATTGAAAAAAAAAAAGACTAAAAGAGATTTTAAATTGTTCAAAATAATTTCTATTTATAATTTATAATAAAATTATAATTGTAATTAATTTTTAATCTATATATTCTATTATATAAGTATTTAACATAATATGTTAGCTACATTATATTCTATTATGAATATCCTTACTATAAAAATAGCCAATAAAGCAAAAACTAACGAGTAATTAGGTAATATTTTATAATCGATTTTATGCAAAAATTAATTCTTAGAAGTAAACTATTTGGTGTTTGATTAATAATTTGATTTACATCAAAAGTTTATGCCCCTCCAATTATGCTATATGTATAAGTGATGCATGATGACATTCTGTTGGTTTAAGATTAAATATTGAAAAACAAGGCACATCAAAACTATAAATAAGCTTTTTTTAAATTTTTTGATTTGCTTTAAGGTTTGATCATATTATTCTTAGCACTATTTAAATTAACCATGTCATAATACACATCCTAACTTTGTTTAAACTTACACGAACTGGTCTAGGTCAACTCGCTTCCTTGGGCTTGTAGACGATGCAAGGTAGCATATTCTGTGTTAATTATGTAAAAAATGAACTAGATTGCGCCAAATTAGCTACATGACTTGATTGGTCCTACCACTCTAGTTGGTGCCTCAGTCTTTTGTGCACCTCATCTTCCATGACTTTGCCAATCTGTTTTCGAACCTTGCTTCCGCTTAAGAAGGAACAACTGTTTCCAGCGAGCGCGTCAGAAGGTTCAATGGTTATTGACAGACTAAAAATTTGCAGCCCTTGGAAAATTTATGAAGGGTCTAACAGCCACTGTCAAAGCTTGCCATTGTCATCGAAATGCTCTTTTGAGAGATGCTGAAGTTCCCTGAAAGTCTTGATTGATTCTTAGAGGCGACGAACATTGGATTTCATATGACATAATTAACAAAATTATTTATGTATAGGCACACACAGAGAGGGAGAGAGGGAGAGGACAAGATAGTTTTGCCTATGTTGGCTCTCTCCTTATATTCAAGTGTCATATTATCATTGTTATGACATTTATGAGTACTTTTCTTTCCTATGGTGGTTATCCCCTTGAATAGAATGCTGATCAGCCTATCCAATGAACTGTGCAGGATATGGAACTACACAGTTTCTACAGAGCCTACTTAAGGACATGTAAATTATTCATTTGGAGGATGAAACGATGCTAGAAGAGCAGGTTATTTTAAATCTGCTGAAATCCTAGGCAGAGAGAGTAACTTTATTTTATATGAAAACAAGAAGGCTGTGATCCAAAGGAAACTGTGAGATATTTGAAAAGTTACATTCTGTCTGATGCTTCTCTGAAAATTGACTCTAGTAACAAACAGCTTGGGCTTATTTCTTCTTCTAGATGGCTACTGATATGCATGAAAGCAAGCAGCATCAACCATCTTCAGACAGTGAGAACAATACAGATAAAGAGGATGATGTAAGTTCTGGGCTTATTTCAGCTTCTAAAATGTTGGTACATAAAACATTTACCTAGGTTTCGGTATTATGCGCTGTATTAACCATCAAATAACAATTCTGCACGTTTTTTCCCAAGTATTGTGAACTCTATAAAATATTTCCCGTAAATATCTTTTAGCTGCTTTTATGTAAAATTCTAAATTCATAAAAACCTAAGTGGTTTGTTACAAACTAAATAGGTGCAAACCGCATTACCTATTTCTCTATTTTTACACTAAGCTCATATGTAGTGGAGTTTTATTCCAAGTTGCTTGTTTACTCTCGGGAAATATTGTTTTGACTAATTTGAAGGTTAACATGGTTAGTAGATGCCTGTTAAAGCTACTATGTTCTTCACACTGCATTGACTATTCATAATGAATTTCTATTTCTATTTCTTAGTTCAAAATCAATGCTCATAGACCATTTTCATGGTGCATACTGCCACAAGGGCAGATTCTAGCTTTTCTTTTCTGACCAGTGTATATATACATCATCATCATTGTTAGCCTTTTACTATGTTCTTGCTCATGAATCTTCATCATTGATTCGTTCCTATTCAATGCTACACTTAGTGCTAATTCTATTTTACAAAGTTTTTTTTTTCCTCACAATCTATAGTCATGAAGCTAATACTTGTGGGGGATGTCTGGAAGCACATGTGCATGCATATGCTTAGTAATATTTATTACTTGTAATCTATGTATGATTTTAGTGATATGTTGAGTATGTACGTGAAAGACATACAAGCGTATTGCCTATATTTGTAAAACCCAAAGTGTCAACTTATAACGTACACATTAGCCTGAGTGAAATTACATTGGGGACTGGCCAACTTTTTCACTTATATTATCAATGCAAGTTACTTTTATTCTAAACTAGTAATTTTGTTTATGGCATATATTATCATAAAAGTACATTCCCAATGCGTGGAGCCTTCGTTAATATTGGATATGGGTCACGACCTACCCATCAGACCTAGAAGATTTCCGCAATAATCCAACAAAATGCAGCAAATTGATAAATTTGAAGTTAATCTAATAAATTTAACATGATCAAAATAATATTATCCACCAAAAATATGATTTAATAGATTAAGTATCTAAAATTCAATGTCATCTAAATAATTTATTCACCCAAATTAATGGAAACCCAACTATTATAATATTCATCTTGGAAGATGTATAAATTGCCATCAAATCAAAAAAATAATTTTATAAGCCTTTATCACCTTTCTACATGCAAGAAATATGAATCGACCAACTCTTGCTCAATGTTGTCTTATTATTACCTGAAGAAAATTAAAAAAATGAGTTTACAATAATAAAATTAGTAGGTAAAACTGGCAAGATGTTATCAATGAGCCATCTAATAAAATAATGTTGCCAGCCTAAAGGACCTATTATAACCTCATTTGAAAAAAATTGCTCAACAATTGGGATTAGGAAAAGGGTTGGTAGCAAAATTAGAATTAGTGTTGCTAGTGGAGATCTAGAAACTCTATTCGTAGAGATGCCTGTTGGAAACTTTGGAGGCTCAAAAGGATCTGCATATAATATTAGATCCATAATATTGTAAGTCAAACTAATATCATGTTAGCTGGTAAATCTATAATGTATGTATTTGGTTTAAGCTTTCTGAGGATTTTATAGGGGTTTTCGGCTTATACATGAAGTTCTTAAATGTGTTACGCGGGATGTTTTCAGGGTGAACATGAATTAACACATAACGACCTTCATTTTATTCTTGAGATTTCTTATAAACATTTATCATAGTTTTATACTTCTCATTTTACAAATAATTTGTTCTTTAACATTAGAATGCAATTTATGCATGCAGTTAATGAGTGATGTAGCATGATTAGAATATATATGTATCATTAGGTATGAGATTTATAGACTACTTGAAAGGGTGATTTTCTAGTGGTAGTGCTGACTGAGCTATTTTAAGCAAATTCGGCCACAGGTGATAATAAATCCCATTTTTTTAAAACTACAGCCAATGAGACAATGTATCTCAATTATTTGTTCACCTATCAGGGGGTAGAAGGTAGATGACAATTTTAGCTATGCTCCAAAAAAATTTCATAAGATTTTCTAGAAGGAGCTAACAAAGGTTACATCCCTATTAGAAATAATAGGTTTGGGGGAGACTGTGGGTGACCAATTTCCTTGAACAACTTGACATGTGAAAGGAATAAACTGTCATGGACTTGGGAATAAAATATGCCATTTTAGAAAGCTAGTCAACTACTTGTAATATAAAAATTTATCTTGTGTATGCTTGCTTGAAATTCATGCAGAGGTCTTGTCAAGACACATCAAACACAAGGAGTATATGGGCATAGAGTTTGGTTAATGTTTTTTTTTTCCTATTTGTCAATTTTTGTAAGTAGAGGTTAATGACATCTTTCTCTTATTCAGTATATTGACTTGTCTTATCTTATATGACCAACCAGTCCACTTGCTGGTAACTCCCATATAAGAAAGTCTTGCAAGGAAGTACATGGGATGCATAGTTTTGATCCTTTCAATATAAATCCATCATGCAATGTGTAATATGAATTCAAGAGAATTTGATTGTCTTTCTGTTACGCCGCTGGATAGCGGGAGCCAAGTGCATGGCCTAGACCAGCTGAACCTAGCAGAAACGCTGGGCGGGAGCTAGCAGAGCAGGGAAGGTAGTCCGGCGAAAGGTTTACCACCATGGAAAGCCGGTTTGGAGGGACATAGGAGATGATGAGAAAGCTCATTGATATGCAGTCCAAAACTCTACCAGCGTTTTGATTGCTAACCCTCACCATTATGTGATCGACATTCCTTTTGCCGAATCTAAGGGAAAAGAGATCGGATGAGAAGAGTTTGACAAGGAAAGTTTCTTCTCATTGGTCTCTACTAAGGGGTAGAATAGGGTTTTCGGATGGGGGGGACATCTGGAAGGGGGTTTTGTAGTGGAGGTGGTGGGTTGACCGACCTACTGGAGGTTTTTTGGGCAAGGGGAGTGGACAACCGAAGAAGAAGGGGGATGTGCCGAGCCATGGGATCATGTCATGATAGACATATGGAGGAAAGGTGAGATTCCCATCCTCGACAAATGGAGGAACTATTGGCGGGAGAGGAAGTTTGGGTGGAGATGCTAGGGTGAGGAAGCTGAAGATGCTGGTGTTCGAAGAGGAGGATGCCCATGGGTGGGTATACTAGATAGAGAGGTATTTTGTGGTGAATAGGTTGAGAGGAGAGAAGAAGCTTACGGTCACAGGGTTACATCTGAAAGGGAAAGCTCTTGCTTGTTCTAGTGGAGGGAGGCCAGATATCCGATCCATTCATGGGCAGAGTTTAACGATTGCTTGTTAGAACGTTTCCCAACCATTCGGGACGGAGACATACACTAGCAATTCCTTGCCGTGTCTAAGGATGGGATCGTTATAGAGTATAGGGAGAGATTGTGTTGCTGTCGGGGAGGATGAGGGGAATTTCAGAGGCTGTGTTTGAGGAAAATTTCTTAAAGGGTCTAAAGCCCGACATATGAGTGAACCTTTGATTGTAGAGACCGAGGGGGTTAAAGGAGATGATGGAGCTAGCCCAAATAGCGGAAGATCGAAGATAGATGGAGAGGATCAGTAAGTGCGGGGTTATGAGAGGCTCTTATAGAAGTACTTCGACTTCACTAGCACTAAGGACCCGACGGTGTCATTTCAGCGGGGGCACTAAGGGAGAAGAGTGGGGGAGTTCTCCTAGGGACCAACTTCAAGTGCCTCACAGAGGCAGAGGCACATGATAAGAAAGCGAAGGGATTGTGCTTCCGCTGTGATGAAAATATGCATCGGGCCATCGGTGTAAGGTTCGTACACTCAAGATCCTTATGGTTTGTTATGAGAAGATTGATAGCGAGGATCTGATGGAGGAATTAGAAATGTGAGGGGAACACTTACACCTGGATGTGGCGGAAGTGTCCCTTAAAGGTAAATGGGTAAATCAGGGAGCAGCTAGTGGTGGTCTTGGTGTATAGTGGGGCTACTTATAAGTTCATCTCCAAGTGGGTCATGGACCAGTTGGGATTGAAGTTAGTAGATACAAGGAGTTTTGGAGTCATGATCGGGACATGAAAGGTGGAGAGGAGGAGAGGGATTTGTAGGAGGTTGTTGCTGACATTCCAGGGCATACAAATAGTAGAGGATTTTCTTTCCTTGGATTTGGAGAGCACTGAGGTGATCCTAGGAATGAAGTGATTACAAATGATTAGGGAGACAAAGGTGAACTGAAAGTCATTGATTATTGAGGTTCAGGTGGAGGAGAAGAAGGTGATGCTGCAAGGAGATGCCAACATATACAGAACCATGGTTTCACTCAAAACCATGGCCAAGACAGTACAAGGAGCATAGCTAGGCTACTTGGTGGAGCTGTAGAGCCTGGAGGAGGTCTGAGATTCAAAGGGGGTCAAGGACCCTGAGTGTGTACATCAGCTTCTGTACCAGTTTCCTGAGAACTTTTAGCAGCCTAGCGGATTACCACCACCTTGGGAACATGAGCATGCCATTTCCTTAAACGAAGGAGCTTCTCTTATTAGTGTCTGACCGTATCGGTACCTGCAGATTCAGAAGAATGAAATAGAGAGACTCATCAGAGAGATTCTCGAGGCAAGGATTATTAGGCCTAATGTGAGCCCCCTTTCCAGCCTTGTTTTATTAGTAAAAAAGAAGGACGATAGTTGGAGGTTTTGCATGGATTATAGGGCCCTAAATAAAGAAACTGTGTTGGATAAGTTTCTTATCCTTGTGATTGATGAGCTGCTGGATGAGCTATTTGGGGCGGTCATGTTCTCAAAGATTGACTTGAAATCGGCATGCCACTTGATTAGAATGAAGCCGGAGGATGCGCACAAGATAGCTTTTATGACTCATGAGGGTCACTATGAGTTTTTGATGACATCTTTCGGTCTTACTAATGCTACATTCACATTTTAGTCCCTCGTTAACCGGGT